GGGAGGCAGCATGTCTGGCCTTGAAGTAATAGGCCTTGGGTTACTGCTGGTAATCCTGTCTTCCTCTCGTGGGATTAGAGGAGGTCAGAACATGTGGCCTCCTTGCCGTTTTTGCACACATGTATCCTTGAATGTTTCTAGGAGGAAATGTTTTAATTACTAGAACATTCTTCATTATACTGAGCAGAAATTTTCCAACTTGTACTTTTTCCCCAATACTACTAGTTCTGCTCTTTAAAGATAAAAAGAACATATGTCATCCAACAGTTTTCATTCCTGGCTACAAACAGAATGAACTAGGGAGCTAATGGAGGGGAACATACACACACACACAACACACACACACATCTGGTCCCTGCCTGAGACAAATTAAAACAAAATCTCTCAAGGTAGGGCCCAGACATCTATCTGTATATTTAAAAGTTTCCCCAGGTAATACCAGTAAGAATCCAGAGTTATGAATCCCAGAAAACAGCTTTCATAGTAGATTAAACCCTATCACGTCATGTACTAGCTTCTCCTTAATCACTATGTATAACCCGTTTTCCGAATCCTTCATTTCCTCTATTGTGTTCTCACGCATAATTTCCTACACCTAAAAATGTGAAGATCCAAACCAAATATAACAACCAAAATGTGGCCTGATCTGCATAGATTATTATTTAAATGGGGAGCAGATAACTAATTAAATAAATGCAGAATTTAGTGGAATTTAAAAATTTTAAGAATATAAAAAAAGTATTTTCTCTCTCTGTTCATCTTCCTCTTACACAGTGCATTTACCAGTAAATAATGAAAATGGGCGATATCATTTTTGGGATTTTCTGTCATTTTGGCAAAGGGCAAATGAGTTACAGCCACCTGAGAATAAGTCTGCCACAGTGCCAACTCAATGGCCAGCAGTGGGGGTGAGGGTGGGTAGCAGCGGAGTGTGCTATCCAAAGCCTGCCTTAACTGCCATTACAGACTGTGGTGATGATCATGTTGCTTTCGTAGTAGCAGGCCATGCATAACTACAAGCTGAAGATTCACACCACTGAGGCTGGCAGCATTTGTTTCCAGGCAAACTATACCTGGATATGCGGAGATGGCTAACAGAGTTGCTGCCTGGAACACTATTAGTATTTCTTTCTTAACAGGAACCCCTGTTGTGTTCCAATGAGACTTCTGCTTGAACAATGTATTTAACTCCAAGTGAAAAACTACTCAAATGTTAGGAACTACTTTCTAACTATGTGAACACAGTGTCAACATCTTATTCATTATTACTCCTGTAATTTTCCACTCACACCTCATTTTTACTGGGTGCTACCCCAATACTGTGTATTTTTCCCTGGCCATGTCTGAGTCAGCACTGTTATTATAAAGTTACAAATCAAATCTCTTAGAACTTCACTAAAAGAAATTCTCTATAAAGGATTTTGCCAAACCCCAGCATCTGTCTACAGCCATGTCCCAGAAGATTGCTTTCTGTTGCTCCAGGAGGATGACTTTAACAAGCAGCTACTGAGTTACTCACCACAAAGTGGGAGTTACAAATACTATGGTTAGAAAAGCTGTATCATGTAATTTACTTGTTGTTGTTGTTGTTATGTGCCGTCTAGTCAAACCCGACTCACAGCGACCCCTCCTTGGGTTTCACGGAAGTAGGATTGCCCAACCTTCCTTCCGAGGAGTGGCTGGTGGGTTTGAACCGCCAGCTGTCTGGTTAGCAGGCAAGTGTCTTAGCCCCTATGCTACCA